TCCCAGTCCTGAGAAGAACGAGCCCCCTCCCCTCTCCTCGGTAGTCATTGCTAATTATGCGGCACTTACAAGTTCTTTCCTGGGCTGGGGCCTGCCTTTTGCGAATCTATTCTTGTAGACTGGGGGGCTCTGGGGAATTCATGTGAATTAACACCGTGACATGGAAAAATGAAACGGCGACGTTAACCTCATTAAGCAGGAGGAATCGCTACCTCCCTGAAGAGTCTTCTACCTGGAATCTCTGAATTGCAGTCTGCTTACTGAAAGCTAGCAAAGCACAAGTCAGGAGATTGAGAAGGAATCCTGAACATCTCTTCCAAGCGGTGACACCTGTCTACGCATCACAGAGACCGGCCAACGTCCTCGAGAGCGGAAATGGGAGGGAAGGTGTGACCATTCCGGGCATCAGCGCAAGACCAAAATCACGTTCGCTCAGGGACAGTCAGCAAACCAAGACCCAAACAAGCAGCCCCCGGCTCCCCCAGGCACGTGCTTCCCGGACAGACTTTTCAGAAAGCCACCAAACCGCCCTGACAGCCTCTGGGCAAAATGCAAAAATGCTGAATCTTAATCAATGGTGAACGGAGGGGCTTGTGCTGGTGCCTGGTCTCGGCAGACAGGGAGAGCCAGCCCTCGGCAGGTCCAGCGGCGGTGGCGGCGGCGGCGGCGGCGGTGAGCAGGCTCGGGCTAGGAAGCATCTGTGTCACCCGGATGCTGCCAGGAGAACCCACCCCGCCCAGCACAGCCCTCTCAAGCCACCCAGGGCCATCTGTGTCCTGAGGTTCTCCGCTTTGGGAAAATGCAGAGGCTCTAATTTCAGATCAGCCGAAGGCATCCCCAAATATCGTCCTGTCATTTTAGTTCCCGAGGACGCTGCCCCAGGCAGCATCCCCCGAAGAAGGTGCCTGGGGCTGAAGGGACAACTCACCTGCGTCTGCCGGTGTCTGCTCGGTAAAAAGGCCACAGTCTAGTTTATTAGGGATCACCAGGCGCTCTACAGACCTGGTGCAGCGGCTTTTTCATTAGGGAGTGTCGCTGCGGGACGTCAGAGGCAATTGGCCGACGAGCCGAGTCCCACCACGGTGGAGTTTTGAGGCGGCGAGTCCATTAGCTCTATTAGGGCGTTTTCATCTCAGCAAAGGAGGCTGAATTATTCACGAGCGCCTCTTCCCCTAAAAGCTTGGGAAGTGCAGTTCCCCAGTGCAGCCTGGCAAGGCCGATGCCTGGCATGAAGGGTTGGGGTACAGCCCAAGGTGGGGGTCCTGCCCTTCCCTCGGGCCCACCCTCACTGCCTCCAGCGGCCCTGCATGCCAGACACGGCCCCTCGGAACCGCAGGTGGAAAGGGGCAGGCCTTGTATTTGAGTGGGGGACGGAGCTTGCAGCCTCCAAGTCCCACCCCATTCTGAACTGTGTCTGCAGCGGGGGAGCCAGGGTCCCCACGGCAGGGGACCACCTCCCACAGCAAAGGGGGTCTAGAGAGGCCTCAGCACATGAAGACGCTCCTCCTCCCCTCCGCCGGGATGTACCCCAGATTGGAATATCCTGTATTGCCAGTACCTATAAATGGCAGGAACGTTCCAGAAGCCTGCTGTTTGGACACCACACTGCTACTCCCTCCAGGCAGGGGCACAAGAGCCATTCTTCACGGCACACATCCTGACCCGGGGTTTGGGAACTGCTCTGAGACAACACCACGTGAGGCCGAGCTTGGGGCTAAACGCTCAGCCCAGCCCAGGGTCGTGACCTCTAAGGGACTGTGTGCCATCCCAGGATGCCTAAAAAGTCTCAGTGCGACGTTATATTCCGTCTAGGAAAGTGCACCAGTCCGTGTGGGATGCTGGATGGGGCCGGAGTTGTCTGTCCTGTGTCAGATGAACAAACAGTGGCGGCTGCCACTGGGGGGGCGGGGGTGGGGACAGGAAATCAGTGCCCCAGACGCGAGTAGAAGGTAAATGGAATGGGCAGCCAAGAGAGGACTTGGGATCCGGGGAGCCTGGCACTGGGCTACCACCCGGGCAGGCCTCAGCAGCTGACCCGGGATGGTTCTCCCCCAAAGGCCCAAGCCCATCCATCAGCTCACCTCTCCTCGCCACCCTATAGGTGCCCTGAGCCTCACTGCTGGTGGCGGCATCAGCCTAACAGGCTCTGAATGACGCCTCCCTTCTCCCCGGGCCACCACCCCTCCCTGTCTCGGTCAGCAGCCATGGACCCACCACTCCTCCCTGTCTCGGTCAGCAGCCATGGACGTGGCTTCCAACGCCCTCTCCTCAGGCCCGGCGCCTTCATTCTCTCCTTGAGGCTCCTGCAGCTCCGCCCCTCTTCCCCCGTCCTGGGCTTTGTCTGGCCTCACTACACTCGGTCCCCCTGCTACTTCCTCACTACTGCAGGGCTCTGACCCTGCCCTGCTCACACACCACAGATGGCTCCCCAGTGCCCTCCGAAGCCCCTTCACTTGGCATTCAAGGCCCTCCCTAGTCCGACCCCAATCCTCCTCCACTCTGGCCTCTCACTCTCTCCACCATATCCCTGATGGCTCCATCTGGGTAGTCGCCACTTCCTGTTCTCTGTGCACACCTCCAAGTTGTGGTTCAGGCTGTCATATCTACTGGAATGTTCTTCCCAGTTTCTGCATTGAAGCCTTCAAGGCCCAGCTCAAAGACTCCCTGCTGCCTTCTGCACGAAGCCTTCCCGGCTCTCCCAGCTGGCTGTGGTCACCCCCTCGTCAGACCCCAGCAGCTTTTTGGGCTTCCCCCGTGACATGCTTGGTCTCCTAGATACTGTCAGAGTTATTCGGGTTCTGGGGTGGACTGCGTGACTGTTCCCAATCCCGTACTCCTCTCTGGACCCACAACCTTTGCCACGTGACTTTGAAGTTCTTCCTATCGGTGGGGGGAATATATTTTCCTGCCCCTTGACTTTGTGCTTGCTTTGGCCAAAAGCATGTGAGCAGAGGTGACAGTGTTCTGGTCCCACCCACAGGTCTTAGGAGACACTGCATGCTTCTGCTGTTCCTCCAGCACTTCTGCCAGGGGAAGAATGTGGCTGGGATAGGCCCTGGTTAAGAAGGATGGAGAACAGCTGGACCAAACCTGCAGCTGGGAGACAAACCTAGCCTAGATGAGCTGACCCTACTCAACCACAGACACGGAAGCAAGAAATGACAATAGTTGCAAGGCACTGAGTCTGGGCTTGTTTGTTACACAGCATTTGGTGGATAGCTAGCTGATATAGTGTCTTACCTCCCTTCTTCCCTGGGAGCTGCTTGGGGCACCTGTGCCACTAGAGGGCCAGGCTTAAATAACTTAAGCATTCGATAGCCATGTTCAGTGCTGTGCAAGCACTGGAAGTGGTGCCCAGTCTGTTGACCCGCAAAGATCCCAGCTCTTAGAGGCCATCACCAGAGGCCCACAATAGACACCTGAGCGTCCACGTGAAGAATCTACATGAGGATCCAAAGGGCAGGACAGCTTGAGCCCGTGGGTACCAGAACACGGAGCTGAGAGGCTGAGAGGGAGGGCAGGGAGGTCCTCTGGGGATGTGGGTTCTCATCCAGAGGGTCCCCCAGGGGGTGGACAACAGGTTGCAACTGTGGGGTTCCGAGGGCCAGCGAGTGGGGTGGAAGACTTGCACCTCACCTCGGTTACACCAGACAATTTACTTGCCCTCCTATGGGCGAGGCCCTTTGAGCTGTCTGGTGTGTACCCTGGATTTTCCTGCCTGCTCTTCTGACCTCACCCCTCCCCTTCCAAGCACCAAGGCGGCCCCAGGCTCTCTGAGGACGCGGTTCGGGTGCACGTTTGACTACACCGGTCAAATGCTCTGGGACGAACACCGCACATTCAGCAGGATAGTTATGCCATCACACACACACACATGATGATATAGACATTTCATCCAGTAAGAGCATTTCAAGCCCAAGTTCACATCTAGCCAACATTTCAGTAGAGTCAAAGAGTTGGCCATCTCTTCAGAGCTGCCCGGAAGGAGTGAGAGTGCCCAGGGGGGTGCCGACGCGGGCACAGGTTGCCCTGAACCCCCCGGCCACAGGCGCCCTCGAGTGCCCAGGTTGCGGGGGAGGGCAGAGCCCCGTGGGAATCCAGTGCCAGTCCTCCCACCCACTGACCGAGACTCTCGGTGCATCAGCAGCAAATGCCCCCGAGCGCTGCCACCCGGGGGTGTGTAGGACGGAGGGCAGCTGGTTCCAAAGAGAGACCGCCCAGGCCTGCACGCCAAGGTGCGGCAGCACACGAGGGGCCTGCTGCCGAGAGCCGCGCGATTCCCCTCGAGTCCCAGGCTGGGGGAGCTTGCTGACCCGCGGGTTCCGGGCAGCCCCGACATTTCACTTCCTAGAGTCAGAGGCGGCACCAGGAAGGTGAGGGAGAGGCAGTCCAGAGGGAGGAATGGACTTTGCCTGTGGGTTTGAGCTGGTTTGGAACTTACAGAGCTCTCAGGTTCATCAAAGGTGACGCCTTCTTGGGGGTGTACGCTTCCAATGGGACTTGGATCATGGTGAGGGGACGACACGGTGACATCATGCTTCCCCGTGGGTGAACTAGCAAACCAGGTGTTTCCCTGGCCTCTAGACGCCCTGTCCCGCTGGGGCGGTCTCTCAGCAGCTCGAACCCACAGGCAAAGGGCGGAACGACGGGCTCACCACGTCGTCCTTTGCTCTGAAAACGGAAGGAGCAGGAGCCGGCGACCCCATCCCACCCAGGGCTGGTGACTGAGGTTCGATGGCGACTGGGATGGGAGCTAAGCAGTTGTCAGAAGTCTATCTGCTCAAATCAAAGCAAACTGCTGTAGATCAACACACACAATAAACCGGACTTCACATTTCTCATGGGGACGTGCTCCGTGGGCAGGCGCCGACAGAGCCTGGGGCTTGTCCGAGGGGTTTGTTTCAGAGAAAACAGCAGCACCTGCTCGGGGTGGGTACGGACCTCCCACCCACGCCCCTGCCTTCAGCCTGCCGGGTTTAGAGAGAACGAAGACTCATTACCTGTAAAACTGGAGCTGTCTTTTGGGACTCCCATACCGAGTACTTCCGACAGCAATGGAGGAAAGAGAAAAAAGGAGAGGGAGAGAAGACAGTCCACAGTTGGCATCAGCCCAGGGAGGTGCGGCTCAGGCAGCATCGCCGACATCCCGCAGCCCCGGGGCCCGCCCGCCGCTGCTCAGGCCCGTCTCCGCCCAGGAGCCAAACGCTCTGCAGCAGCGCCACCCGGCGGCCACGGCGCAGAGGCCTGGAGCCCGTTCCGACTGGACGCCAGGCATCCTTCCGCGTTGGCCCTATTGCCACGTGAACCCTGGGTGGGGGCCTGGGACTGAATATGCTTTAGGACATGCTTTATTAACGCTTCAGAGCCACCGTGGAAACCCTCCGGCCCAGAAGTGCAGGTCGGCCCGCGAGCTGCCAAATCTGCACGTGACACCCCCTCCTCTGTGGTTTCCGTAGCCCCCGGCTCTGGTTTGGGCCCCAACAATTATCTAGAAAGGACCAATGAGCCGCTGGTGTCCCGCCCATGCCCCAATCTTTCATGGGTTCTGTGCGCCATTCCTGGAGCTGGCGGCTCTCACCCAATGCCCTCCGTGCTGTGCAAACAGAAATGCCCAGAGCTGTGTTTGGAAGTGGCTTCCGTTAGGAGGACATCAGGGGTGCCCTGTGAGCATCTGGCCATCGCCACCCCTCTGGGCGTTGGGAAGTGGGCAGACACGGTTCCCAAAGGAGGCTGTAGCCTGGCTCCGGGCACTGGGGGACCTGGGGTACACGAGTGCAGCGTGTGTTGTGCCGCGAGGGCCTTGCGCTCACTCGCTGTCAGACCTCCCTGTTACCCTTGAACGAAATGTTTCAGAAGAGCCAGGGCCAAGAAAGGAGTCTCTCCTGGCTCATTCTCACTGGAAGAGCTTTGCTTTTTCTTTCCCCCTTTGGTTGTTAAAGCTTCTGTTCCTTTCCTGGAGAAAAGCTCACCGAGTACACCTAGCAGCTCCGTGAGAGGCAGAGCCCGTGGGGCCCCCTCAGTCCTTCCCTCATCCCAAGGGGAGGACAGTGGCTTTGGGGACCCCTCCTCAGAGGCAGAACGGACCCTGGGAGAGGGCTGGGGCAGGGGTAGGGGGGTCACCTGTAGAGCATCCCGGGGGAGCCCGTCTGCCGCTGGGAGAGCCGAGCTGGGGAGCCCGTTGTCGATTCTGGATACATGGAGCTGGCCTCACTTGTCCAGACCTGCTCGATTTTTCACGGAGGGAAAATTCTGGAAGAAAAAAGCAAAATGGGGAAGGAGAGGGTGGTGGTTAACATACATGAACCAGGTTTAGCCAGGAGGCCTGTGGTCGTAAAGGCCCAGAAGGCTGAGCTCACAGAGCATCTGTTTGCCCCCATCAGACAGATAGGCAGGCCCATGGGCTCAGATGGGGCTGGGATCAGGTACAGTGACTGTGAAGATTCCCCCTCCATCACCCCACACTGCCACCCGAGGCAGCATGGGGGTCCTTCTGCAGCTCCCTGACTGCTTTTGTGAAACCCTGGGAGGGGTTTCTGCGGCCCACGCTGTGCAGAAGAGACGGCCCCAGAGGGCACCTGCGCACTGACTGAGCTCCTGACTGCCTTCCCCTCCCAGGCGGAGGAACGGCTGTCCCCAGGGTCATTCTGACGCCTTTGCCTGGCCCTGACTCCAGCTCACTGTGGCCTCCTAAGCTTCTAAGACAGGCAGCACAGCAGGGGCCCTCCCCTCAAGTGTGGGCTGGGCCCGGTGACTTGCTTCTGACCAGCAGAAGTGACACAGGTTGTGACTTCTGTCTTGCTAGTGGCCGCTCCCTCCCTGGCTCTGATGGAGGAAGCTGCCCTGCTAGAGAGGCCCATATGGCGGGAACTGAGGGCAGCCTCTGGCCAACAGGCCCTGAGCTCTCAGTCCAAGAGCCCACAAAGAAGTGAGTCCTTCAAACAAAAGCAGATCCTTCAGCTACAGCTTCTGATGACAGCCCAGCCCTGGCCAGCACCTCAACTGCAGCTCAGGGCGGGGGTAGCAGGGGCGTCCCGGAGCAGCAGACCCAGCCCAGCTCTGCCGGAACGCCTGACCCACAGAAACCGCAAGATCACACACTGGGCTGTTTGGAGCTGCTAAATTTGTGGTTGTTACAGTGGCAATAGATAGTGCGTATGAGTGCCAGCATCCTGCTGTCCACTCTTCCCCCACTGCCCCCGGGCTGAGCCTCTCTCCCCCCGAGCCCTTGGGTTGCTTCCTAACTGCCCTCCTGCTCCCACTCAGCCCCACAGTCCCTGCCCCACCCACAGCCAGGGGCTTCTATTTTAACAGCAAATCTGGTGGGGGGGGCACCTTACTTCCTTCTTCCCCCCATGTCAGTGCTCCACCTCCCGACTCTCACCTCCGCCCCTTGCACGGGCCCCGCTCACGGCCTCACGGCCTCCTGTCTGTGGCACCTGTACTGCAGCCCTTCTCAGTGAGCTGCCCTACTGCCACGCTCAGGCGTCCCCTCCCAGCTCCCGGGACGATACTGGCCAGCCCTCTGCCTGCACACGGTCTGTGGTGTTCTGGTTCCCTCTCTGGATTGTGAGCTCCACGAGGGCAGGGGTTTCGCAGGTCTCACTCGAACAGGGCCTGGCTGCTGGAAGAGTGAGGTCCCCTGATGCAAAATCACGTGGTCCTGCAGCCATGGGCAGAGGGATTGCCTGGGCTCAAAACACAGACCGGGTGCGGTGGCTCACGCCTGTAATCCCAGCACTCTGGGAGGCCGAGGTGGGAGATCACTTGAGGCCAGGAGTTGGAGACTAGCCTTGGCAACATAGAGAGACCCTGTTCCTACAGAAAATTTAAAAATTAGCTGGGTGTGGTGGTGCCTGCCTATAGTCCCAGCTACTCAGGAGGCTGAGGTGGGAGGATCGCTTGAGCCCAGGATTTCGAGGCTGCAGTGAACTCTGATCACGCCATGTGCTCCAGCCTGGGTGACAGAGCAAGACCCCGTCTCTAAAAACAAAAGAAGAAAACAAAACACAGCCCTGCACACCCACAATGGCCCCGGAAATTGGTGGGTAACCAGACACTTATTCCAGCATCTGATCCGGAGCTTTGTCATCGGACGCTTCCTTTTTCCAAGAATGGTCACCAGGAAGCTGGCGTCCTCGATCACTCTCTGCAGCATGGATTTAGGTCCCACTAAAAACTGAGATCTCCTCTGGGTGAGGGTGTGAGCCTGAGTGTGGACCTGCTAGAAAAATGGGGATAGAAGACGCAGCGAAGATTCCACGCCATGATGACCTCAGAGGAAGTGACGGGGTTGGGAGGGTCCCCCCGAGTTTTACCCATAACGAACCACATTTAGAATTGAATGACGGAGGAAACAAAATGGACTGAGATCCGTATAATTTGTGCAGCGCCTCTCTGAAGACAGTGGCTGGTTACCCAGGTGGCTGAGGGACACAGACGGGAAACCATGGCCACAGAGCAGAGGGTGTCACAGAGCACTAGGCACAGGCCTGCTGGGAGTGGGGCTGTCACCATGGCCCATCTCCAGGGAGCCCCCCGTGGAGGATGCATAAACAAACATGGTCCCCAGGCCATGGGGAAGAATGGGAGGTAGGATGTCCCCACACAGGGTTGCAGAAGGACTTGGGGGCAGGATGCCTGTGCCCTTAATGGCCTGTCCCATAGCCCACTCTCTCCTCATTGGCTTTCCCTGAGCCCAGCTGCAGAGTGGTGGCACTCAGGGGTGTTCAACTTCTAGAATCACACGCTCATCTTGCATTTGAAAAGGTCTGGGGACCTAGAGTCTCTGGTTCCATGGATGTGGGCAGGGCCCAGGTAATGCTGATGCTACTGGCTCTGGGACTGTGCTGAGAGCCACTGGCCCGGAGGCCAGGTCCTAGACCAGCAGGCCAAATCCACCCGTTTTTGTAAATAAAGTTTTACTGGAACACCACCCATGCCCATTTGTTTACAAATTGCCTAAGGCTGCTTCTGAGCTACAACGGCAGGGTTGAGTAGTTGCAGCAGAGACTGGCTGGTTGGCAAAGCCTAAAATATTCACTATCTGGCCCTCTATAGACAAAGTTCGCTGACGCCTGCTTTGGGCCATTCTGTCTCCTACTCCCAAGGGGACAACTCCTGGCAACTCCTCTCCTTAAACCACCAACACTTCTCCCATCTCTCTCACCTCTGACCTTGCCACTTCCTAGTTCACTGAGGACACAGAAGCCACCAGAAGCCAACTTGCCCAGACCCACCCTCCAGCAGTCAGCACTCGAAGCTTTCTGCCCTCCCTCCCTCGGATGCCCAGATGAGCTGGCCACGCCGCGTCCACACCCTACTCAAGGGCGTCCTGCAGCCCAGTCCTCCTCCTCCATGAAGCCCCGTATCTGCACATGTGAATTATCATTCCTCCCGTCCCAGAAACAAAGAGCACAGTTTCTTGGACCCACTTCCTTCTCCCCTGTGGTACTATTTCTCTCCTTCCATTCACAGGAAACCTCCTTTAGAAGTCGTCCTTACTTGTCTGTATTCCTCTTCCTTTCGGCTCATGAACTGACTCAATCAGCCTCTCCCCGCCCTCACTCAGTGAAAGCCACTCTTGCCAAGGTTGCGGTGACCTGCCTCTTGCTAAGTCTGATGGCGCCCATGGTATTGGGGTGACAGTGGCACTGCCCGAGGTCCTCCTCGGCTCCTAGGACCCCACGCTCTCTGGCTGCTCCTTCTCAGCCCCCCGGCTGCTTCCTGCTCATCTCTGCGGCCACCCAGGATCAGGCCTGCAACCGCTTTTCTTTTTCATCCACACGAAGCCCCTGGTACTTCTGCCTGTCTCCTGGCTCTCAACTGTCACTATGCTGCACACCCCATGTTTATACCACACCCCGACCACTCCCCTGAGCCCCAGACTTGTTTATCCAACTGCCTGCATGGAGTGTCCGCAAGGACGCAGAACAAGTGCCTCAGATCCATGTGCTGGACCTGGAGCTCCCGCCCACCTGCACCCCTGTTCTTCCCACGGCCGCCCTCTCAGGCGCTCACTCCAAATTCCTAGGAGTCATCCGACTGCTTTCTTCCCCCCACATCCCGCATCCAATCATCACTGGGTTGGGACCCCACGCTCACCCCCATTCTCCACCTGCCACCAGCCCAGGCCTCCGCCTTCTCTCTTTGGCCTCATATAGCAGCTTCTAACAGGCCTCCCAGCCTCCACCTTACCCCTGGCAGTCTGCTTTACAGGGCCAGCGTGAACCTTCTAGAACATAAGTCAGACCATGCCATTACTTTGCTCAAAACCTTCCAATGGCTTCCATTCTATCCAGAGTAAGAATCCGAATCTCAGCAGTGGCCCCTGGGCCCCGCCCTGTGGGCCCCTTCGACCTTCCAACCTCACCCTTCATTGTGGCCCTTGCTCACTGCCCTGGCCACACTGGCCCCAGGGCTTCTGCCTTCCTCTTGCCTTCAGCCTCTGACCCCCAAGAACTCCCGGACTCCCCCTTTGCCTCTTCATGCCAAGGTCACCTTTTCAGCCAGGTCTTCCCTGGACACCTCATTGGAAATCACAAGCTGTGCCTCCCCACGCAGCCCAGTCCCTTCCCTGTACTATTTACTATTTTCTCCCAGCACTCTCACCTGCTCGCATGCTTCCACTATTTCCCGGCTTGTCCCCCCACCAAGATGCTGGCTCTGGGAAAGCAGGGAGTTTTGTCCGCAGCGCTCCCAGCTGTGCCAGGCACCTAGCAGACAGACACTCAGTAGGTATTTGTTGAATGAATGAATGGATGGACGAATGCTTCTGCAATCCAGCCTGCTGAAGGCCTGCAGAGAGAGGGTACCAGAGAGGCGGTGGTGCCTCTGCGGTCTGCCATTACCGCAGGCAGCACACCCCGCGGGGACGCTGGTGACAGGGCCTGCACGTGGAGTGAGGGCAGCTTTATCTGAAGGGTGCAATGCCTGCTCTGTCCAGTGGGGGCGCTCGGGGCAGCTACAAGTGCGGGGACGACAGGCAGCACTGGGCACACTTAGGGAGGCGTCCCCGGGGAGGCCGCCTGTCCCACTCCCCACCCCTCTCCTGGACTCCAAGAAGTGCTGACCCTGGGGTCAGGCTCCCTCCGCGCCAGCGGCCAGCTCCCCAGCCCACAGCCACAGGCGAGAGCTGGGCGCCCTCTGATGACCACTTTACAAGGAACAGCAGGTCGCCAACAGCGCCTGTTTCAGTCCTACCGGGCGCCCAGCAGCCCAGCCCACAACCTTCGCCACCTCCCAGGGGAGAG